CCCCCCCTATCTATGCTTCAAGTACCTCAACTTACAGACGGGTTTAACAATCTTTGCGTTTCAAATTTTCACAACCTTAAGTCATACAGCTGCTGAGATCAAACCAGTTACAGAGGGAGGCAAGGAAGGGTCACAGCAGCTGCCTCTAGAAGTGGCTCTGACCTGGTGACAGCACTTAGTATGTAGGAGGAGATTTCCCTGGGAACAGAGGTGGGGGGCGGCTGTGCCAAATATCATATTACCCGACGAAACAAAGATTGAGGCACGAGGAGGATAATCACCGATGTGTTTCAGCTCCTCCATCTGCAGAATGACCTGAATAGTGGACTCTATGTCGTAGCTCTCGGCTTCCAGGCTCTGCAGGATCAGGTGGACGTCCTGGGGACAGAATTGGGGATGATAAAAAATACATTATAATAAAATGACACCAAAAACCTGAACATCAGCGGAGGCCAAACCCCCTGGAAGGAGAATCCGAGGGCCTGTGTCTGCTGACCTCCAGTAGGTGATCCCGCCAGTACAAGGAACTTCCTCCAGAAGGGTGACAACATTAGAGTATTATTAATCCCTCTGGTGCTGAATTCAGGTTTTCCTTTTAGGTTCACCCAAGAAAGTGAAACTATAAAGTATTTTGGCTTCATCGGCCCCAAAACATGTACTGCTCAATGTTCCCAAAAACTCAAAGCTCAGCCCCCCACAAACTCAATTCAGGGAATGCACACTGATCACATGTGTTGCTGTAGAAGGCACGGTAGCATGTCAAAGCCTGGAGGAAGGCAGAGGAGTGGCTAAGAATGCAGGGAGGCCTGGTAGCCACTATCAACACCTGGAGGAAGGCAGGGGAGTGGCTTAGAATGCAGGGAGGAAGGCAGGGGAGTGGCTTGGTATGCAGGGAGGAAGGCAGGGGAGTGGCTTGGTATGCAGGGAGGAAGGCAGGGGAGTGGCTTGGTATGCAGGGAGGCCTGGAGGAAGGCAGGGGAGTGGCTTGGTATGCAGGGAGGAAGGCAGTGGAGTGCCTTGGGATGCAGGGAGGCCTGGAGGCAGGCAGGGGAGTGGCTTGGTATGCAGGGAGGAAGGCAGGGGAGTGGCTTGGTATGCAGGGAGGAAGGCAGGGGAATGGCTTGGTATGCAGGGAGGAAGGCAGTGGAGTGGCTTGGGATGCAGGGAGGCCTGGAGGCAGGCAGGGGAGTGGCTTGGTATGCAGGGGGGAAGGCAGGGGAGTGGCTTAGTATGCAGGGAGGCCTGGAGGCAGGCAGGGGGTGGCTTGGTATGCAGGGA